AAAGTCAAACATCTTATTAAAAAAGTCTGCACGGATATCTTTGTCACAATTCAAGGTCGTGAGTCTTTGCAGAAGGGGCTTAAGGAAGACAGAAGACTTTGGGTTAAAAGGGTTGATATTGTTGATCAGACAAACAAGATCAATGTGGATGGTGAGTTTTGTCACAATGATGGAAGACCAGCCACTGGCCTTTGTGATGGTGGATCTGATGAAAGCTGATTGACTGGAAATTATTCTTCACAGAATTTTTGAACAGATTAGGGCAACTTTTGTATCACAACCCGCAGCGCAAACTAGGTGAGTCTCAAGGAGATCTTCCATATCTCATCAGAACCATTGGAGCATCACATACACCACAAAGACACCTTTTTGCAGGAGGATGTCCCAACCGCTCCACACTGAGTGCCATGGCGGTGTTGGTAGTCCAATGACATCTTGAAAGGCTCTGTGACAGTTTTCAAGGGGGATACCCAGTGGACTCCTTGCAGGAGACCGTGTCAGATTGTATTGCTCTCTTCACAAAAAGAAGACATCCCAAAGGTATCCAATTGTCTTTGTGGTGATAGCTATTTACCAACCACTCTTTTATTATGTTCATAGTGGGGTGGAAACACGAACTAGACAACACAGGACGCAGAGCAGCATTTAAAGTGACAGTTGTTTGGAAAACTGAAGAATTTGAAGAGGATGTGGTCGCCATCTTTAGATCACGTCTTCGACCAAAGTACAGTCCATGGAGGCTTTGGAATATTGAATTCCATGGTCCACACAACACTGCTCCTCCCAAATCTGATGACAACACAGGCAGAAAATCATCAGCATCACATTCTTGAGTTTCTCACAACTTGTTCTCCTGTTTCAGTGTGTTCTTGCTTGCTTTGGAAGTTTGTTGGATATACCACTGTTGATTTTACATAAAGAATTCAGGAATCACATGAATATAATTTTTGAGTTTCCTCTGATTGTTCACGCCAAGAAGGCATATGTGTCGTGTTGGATAAATCTTTTCTCCTTGTGTAATGTTGGTTGTGTGCTATCCAAAAATGGTGCTTTGAAGAGAAAATATGAAAGCTTACAAGTACAAAAGCCCAATAGTAACAATGTAGATAACACATGGATGTCCTCAGATGTCTTGTCATGAGAGCAAATCATATTTTTTTGGAGATTGCATCCAGACAAATATACAATACAAGCCAATGATGTGCCAAAGTGTCTGGCCAACCAGAGGACACAATTGTAATTGAGACAGGCATTTCCAAAATAATCAGTTACAAATTATAATCAACTACATTGAATAAAAGTAAGCCTGTCTCTTCCACTATGAAAATTTTACAAATCACTTGCGTTCAACTCACGCTGCCCTTTTGATCATTTTCATCATCTCAAATTTCACCAAGTCTTTTATTTTATATCACAAGCCCCCAGCTACTAGGCACTGGAAGGCCAGAGAAGACCATCGACGTCAACAGGATTTGAAACCAGTTTCAAGCAATCTTGGCCCAGCATACCACTAAAAGGGATGTAGATAGTACTGTTGGGATACACCAGACATTGTACATCTGTTGATGTGGATAGACAAGGTTTATGCAGAAAAAATGTCAAGACAACAGAGAATTTGTGGGTGTTTTTCTTGGACTTTATCTGAATATTCAAGTGATTCTCAAAGGGATTTGAAACAGCAGTATCTTAGTACTCAGGTTCTGTACAGAGGTGTACATATGACTACTGGGATCTGCCAGTCATTGTACATCTGTCTATTGCAATAAGTGAGGCTACAGAGAAAGATCAAAAGTCTTGTTGGGAGATCATTTTGACATGTTTTAGGAATTCATTTTTTGAGAAAGTTTTGAATTCCAGATTCCCATACAGAGGTGTACATTGTACCATTACTATCTGCCGTACAGTTTGCATGTGTGTATGGGCATAAACCTGGTTTATGTGAACAAATCTCCTGAAGATATCAAACATTGGTACATTCTTCTGGACCTTTCTCAGTAATGCTATTCTGTAAGTAAAAAATTGTTTTGGTCTGGAGAACTGTCCACCTGCAATCATGTTGTAAATTTCTTTTGAAAGTTTGCTAAATTTTCTCTGACGTTTGTGTGAAGTTTCTCTGCAATTGCTTTGAAACCTTCCAGGAGTCGTGGTAATCTCTGGCATGCCAGTGACTGGTAGCTTGGGGCTGTGTATAGGGTTTTGCTAAACACCACCATAAATGTGGGCCCTTTTTTTACAATCCCCTACATGTGTGTATCCCATAAAATGGTGTCTACATTGCGCGGCCTGACACTGAATATGCAATGTAGGTGCCAAAAGTTTTCACAACAGAGCCTACATAGCTATTTAAAAATGTGTGTGCTTTCTAGCATGTCAAAATCCATATGCAGGCACTTTTTTGAGCGCCTACATTTTGAAATACCTAGAAGGCACTCAAAAAACCACCTACATTACTGAGTAGCTATGTAGACCCTTTTGGTCATGATGGAGCACCTACAATTCAAGACTGAAGGCCATTTATACCACCTTTTCAGAGTATGTTTGGGTTGCAATTAGGAGATCAGATGATGGAACAAGCATATTGAGTTGTGATTTGGATATGTGGGTTGCAATGAGGATATTGGAGCACAGAAAACCCTTTTTGAGTTGCAATCAGGTTATCCGTAAATCAAGCTGACTTTTCTGTGCAGCATACCTACATCATGAATTTTAATCACAACTCAAAATGCTTTTTCTTTCCTCCAATACCCTGATAGCAACTCAAAAATTGCTCTGAAAAGGCGTTATAACTGGCTGTAAAATGCCAGTCTTAAGTTGTAGGTGCACCATCATGACCAATGGCAACAGTGGATGTAGGCACTTTTTTGTAGCGCCTACATGTGCAAAAGTGGATATAGGTACATTTTCATTGCCTAGATTCAAATTCCCATAAAAGGGTTGCCAATCCTCACAGAATTCAATGTAGGCCTTTTTGAGATCACATACAAGTTTGGATTTATGGTGGTGTTTAGCAAGATCCTTCATATACCATATACTTCAAATGATTGCAAGCTTTTTCAATACTTCACTCTTCTTTTTGATGGGCTTCCAATTCTTAGTCTCAGTGATTGAAATAAATAGTACGGAGGATCATAAGTCTTGACTAGTTTGAGTTCTTTGTATCTGGTTATGCATCTTGGCATGAATGTGGTGGCATAGAAGCTGTAGGTAGAACTTCTGTTTCAAAAGCTTTTCAAGACATTCTTCTCCCAGAGACCCTAGAACAACATGTTAATAGAGAACAGTTCCAAGCAATCATCAACCACACTATGAATGATCCCCTGTCTTTCATTGTGAAAGTTTATCAAATCACTTGTGGTCAACTCAGCTTCCACTTGCTATCATCTATCTCACTTGGCACTTTGATGGCTTTTCAATATATGGTGTGTGTTTCGAATAGTGCAAGTTTTGTGTATCTGTTCAAGCAAATTATCATTCATATGACAGCATGGCAGCCCAAGTAATAGCTTCTAGTTCCCAATTTTCTTGGTGCATTCTTATTGCCAGTGAGCCTGAGAATCAAGATGTGTCAATTCCTGTGGCAGAAGCCAGGATTTTCATCCCAGAACCTGAGATCATTGTTATCAATAAGGATGCTTGTGTTGGAGTCAATGCTGAGTTTCATTGAAATGAAGTATGTACAAACATCAACTTCTCTTTGTGACAGTGTATCTCATAACTAAAGCTTATACCTTGCAAATGTTTCTTCAATGCATAGCCTTCTTGACCAGCATGCAGAATCAAGAATGCCTGAATAAGAACAGCCTGTTAGGTTAGTCAAGTTATGGGTTTGGCCCAATTTTGGTGCCCCAGTAGGTGTGGGTGCGTACAAGCACATATTTCTTTCTCTGAATGGAGGTGGGCGCCCATGAACCAAAGCACGTTATCCCCATGGTTTTCAGCAGTTTTCCCCCCTCCCACCTTCAAGTCATCTCAGATTCACCCATATGTGTTATTTGTACCATCCCACACCATCTTCTTCAATCATGGAAGCACCTATAGTCTGGATTGCCAGGAGCCACAACAGAAGAATCTCAGAATCCAATGATAGCAACACATCTTCATTGATACTACTTTTGATTTGATTGATTTTTGTTGTCTCATTGCTGATAGAGTTGTGCAGAGGGGATTCATATGAGACCAGTGATGTTTCCTGGAATGCAGAAGATGTGGGTGATCAGATGCTATCAAAAAAGTTGACCCCTTTTCGTCTATTCTTTGCGCTTCTTTTCACCCTCTTGCATCCCCAGTCAAAATAAGGGCGTGTCACTCTTTTTGACTTCTCGTTGAGATTGGTACAGAATACCTATAACTCTTATACGGTGAAGTGATGGTTGAAAGAAGATATATATTTGTTTGCCTTGAGTCCAAAACGCTATCTCAACTTGACTATGTGAGAGCAATAATCTATAGTTGGTCAAGGCCTACAATCTAGACATAGCCAGTCGCACAATAATTTGATCAAGCCGAAGAAACTTAGTCAGTTAAGAAGTGGGAGATGCTCATGGTCTATAAAACTTGCGTGTCAATGGCAGTCTCCGTAACGAGATTCCTCGCCTTTTGAATTCCTTCCTCACTTTTTTGAAAAACACCTGGTTAATTCGGACCAAGTTCGTCTCTCAGATTCAGATTTATGTGCAAAGCTCTGCTATATGAGCCCTCCGTTTCTAGATTTGCGTTGATCATGTTGTTGAGGTTGAATTCATCTCGCTTAACACGTGTTTGAGGATAGAAAGACTCGTTAATCAAATCGTTAGAGAAGACGGATGAGGTAGTAGTTAGATGGCTTATCAAACTAATGGCCATCCGGAATGTTTCCTTGATTCTTGAACTGGTTCGAGGCGAAATCGAGCGAGTTATTTTGAAGTTAGCTAAGTAGGCACGGTACCGGGTTCGACGGATTAAATTAAGTTCGCCATCGCCCTCGAGTTCAAATACCTGTTGACCTTCAACTTCGACCTCTTCCAATCGGTAATCATCATCCTCAACTTAATCAAGAGATACCATTATTATCATTAAAACATAACAATCATGTCTTTCCTACCTAATCAATCTCAAGAACCATTTTATTATCCAGTAAGACCTAACAGTCATTTTACTTCATCGTCTCAACATTCACATCAACATCAACAACAACAACAGTACAGAGATGAACATGAGATGACTTCAGTTAGAAATCCTAATCAAGCCAATTCATCAAATAAGAATAAGAAAAAACCAACCCAACAACATGCCTTTGGTGATGATAGTGATGATGAAGACGAACAAGCGCCGAAGAATGATTCTGATAGTGATGAAGATGATGGTCAAGGGTTTGGGGTTTATAAAGGTCACTTTACCTTCTTCTTTTCTGACCATTTTTACTATCTTAGCCTTCTATGACTGATGATATATTTTACTTTTGAAAACGTGATTTTTAGATAATCAAGAATCCGATAAACGTTACAAGAATGCCAACATTAATTCAAACGTATATAGAGACGATCCATACGCACAAAATCGGAACGATCCTAATGCATATTTGAATTCACCGTCAACTACTGTAGGAGGAGGGACTCCAAATTATTTACAATCAGGTGAATCCAGTAGTTTAAAAAGACCAATGGAATATAAAAAATCAGATTTAGTTCAAATGCCTGCACTTGGATCTGATTGGGCACCAGATGAAGGTAGAAATGATAAAGATTGGGAAGGTAAACCTCAAATGATTGATAAACCTAAATGGGCTCATCGAAAAAACGAGATGGCAAATGCTCAAGCTGGTGTAAGACATTCGATTCGTGAATGGTTGGCTGGTCGAAATAAAGCTTGTGGTTGGTTTGGTAGGATCCAAGGACTTGTTTTACTTGTGATCCTTTTGATAGCGTTAGTCTTCTTTGTTTCTTCAATTCTTATTTGACTCTAGGCTAATCTATCTTTCTTCGTTTATGATCAGATTGGCTCTCATGCTCTACTTTTTCATCCCAAGAGTTCCAACTTTAGCGTACAACAATCAACAATTAATGGTGGGAGATAATTCAACAGCAAGTTTTAAGAGATTAGATCCGATTGGATTCTCGTTTGATGCTAAGATCAATTTAGCGTTTAATGCCAAAAATTCTTATCTTGGTCCAAAGGTTTCTAACTTAGTAGTGATTGTTGAAGATTTGAGTACCGCTGGTGCTATTGAGGTTGGGAGAGGAAATTCAGATCATGATGTGATTTCCCTCAAAACTAAAGATTATACACCTTTTACAGCTACTGTTCATTTCAAATATGGGTATGCTGTTCGATTTTTTTTTCAATTCCAAAACTTTGGAATCAAAATGATTTCAAGCTAATTTGTTTCTTTTTTGGTTTCATAGTGCAAGTGCGATCACCGATTCGATTTGGTCAAGTTATTATACAGCTTGTGGTCATATGTGGCCAGGAAATAGTACAAGACCTACTTTGAATCTAGCTATTGGAGTTTCATATAAAGTTTCTGGAATTTCTGGAGAACAATTTGAATCGACTGTCTTAAATTCAATTGGCTGTCCTGTTGAATTACCTGCTAATGCTGCTTGATTTAATTTCAGAATCTATCATATTGGGATTCAAGGATAAGATACATGGTTTCCTCTTTTTTTGGCAATGTTTTTTTTTGGTTTTGTATTAGAAATTGAAGGAATATTCAAACGAGATAACATTATGGTGGACAGTTATTTTATGGTGGATGGTTATCTTTTAATATTTGATTGATTTTTCTTTATCACCATGGATTTTTTTCTTACAAAAAGATCAATTAAATTTATTAAATTTTGACCAATTGTTATTTCCTATTTTAATTTTCTCCATTTTCTTTATTGTACTAATTATTATCTGTTCAGCATTTTTAATAATTTGATTCATTTAAAAAACTTGATGATAGATAATGGTTTGATTGTCATTGTTTATGAACTTGGAGGTCTCAATTTCAATGATTCTTTCTTTGCGTGAAGTTTTGGTTTGGGAGATGGATCAGGTGGGATAAGCTCAAAATGAAGTCCCCTCATATTAGTGGAAAACAAGAGTATGGCTTGGCGAGGTATCAGTATCCGCGCTGCACAGGATTAAGTATATGCACATTATTTGTAAGAGGTTTACAAATTCATACATTCCATATGGTTGTAGTTTGCATCAACCCTTGATTTCTTTGAGGTTTTGCTCATTCTGACAAGCACATACCACCATGACTTTGGAACAATCTGCATGGCCTTAATGAAAAAAACACATACAAGCCATGATAGATTAAGTAGACCTTGTGGCCAAAGTTCTCATTACATTTCTTTCACCATACTATTGTTAGAATTTAATGATGGAGGGTCTGGTAGATCATCTCCAATTATAAGCTTACTAGAAATACCAGGATATATATTTGCGGTACTCAAAGCTACATATGTACGCGTACATAGTTGCTTTGAGTACCGTAATTATTCTTCAAGGTTCCATTTGTTTGGCTTATGTATCAACTCTTGACACAACATCACAAAATTTCAATCTGTCTTATGAGTAGTTCTGGTCATCAGATGACAGCTACTCCACCTGCTTTGGAGACAATTTTAGAAATATATGAAGAGTCAGTTTATCAATTGTTCAGGGATGGTGCCATCAAGGTGTATGAGGCAGGAGAGGACCCCGGAAAGCCCCTACAGAACCATCCGATGAAAAACGTATTAATTGAGGGTTGAGAATTTGGCTAGGTTACCGATGAAAAACGTATCAATCGGCGAAATCTGAAAAAAACATACCGATGAAAACAGCCCATACAGGTATCAATTCTGTATCAAATGGCATGTCAAGGAGGGATTTTCGTGAAAAACAGCATGTCACCAATGTAACATGTACAAAAGTGCCCAAATAAGCTTGAAAACTGCTCGATGTTACCGATGAAATTGGTATCAAAGACCTCAAAAAGTTGATTTTTGAGGTATTGATCAGTGAGAAATTGCTGGAATTACATCGGATGGTTCCATAGGAGCTTTCCGGGGTCCTGGCAGGAGTAAAAGGACTTCTGCAGTCTTTCCAAGGCCAGTCACCAGTATCAGTCAAAATTCTTATGAGACAAAATATACAGGGACAGATGAAACAAAAACCCTCACTCTAAAAACTATACCTCCCACGGGTGGCAGGCATGCTCACTCAACCAGAGAACTTTTGAGAAGAATTCACACCACCACTAGATTCAGATAATCAGGAAAGTGTTTTCTCTTGTTGCTAAAATAAGCAATGCAAAGTGACTCAATTCATTACAGGAGCCAATTCTAGCATGTTTGACCATCAAATTCAAACTTTCAGAATGCTTGGATGCCAGATGACACATATCAGACTATAAATCCAGAACTTGACTGGAGATGAGCTTGTAATCAGTTAGCAGCTTCAAAAATCAATGTCATTATAAGCAGCAGTATCAGATGACTAAGAACAAAGTCCTTGTGGTACGAATCAAGGTCGGAATACTGATCAGAAGACAAAAAACGTTTCTAAGACTTGGTATAAGTATTTGCGCAGAGCGAGTAGATGTAAAATTACTAAAGACTGTCGAAAGATAATGGAGTAAAATGAATCCTTAAGCTTCACCAGGGTCCGGGGTTCCGTTACAGGTCCAGGAGGCCTGATGAACAAATGCAACAACATGAGCAACTCGCAGCTCCTGAACACCAGATCAGATGATTGTAGGACAGAAACTCACATCACGCTTCTTTGGCTTTCCAACGTATGTGTACCAGTCACTTCGCTTGGTTCCGAGTCCCAAACATTCAGCGACACTTACAAGTTTGTATCCAGCATGATGTAGAACCTTGACAGCATGTGGAATGGTTTTTGTGACTGTTGTTTCATGGGTCTGATAGTAACAAGATGTTCAGTAAGTGTGATACATGTGATCAAGTGATGAAGCTGACTGACCTCGTGATTTAAACTGATGTGTGGTTTTGGACAAGTCTTGGCCCATCGATCATACCGAGCCATAATCTTATCGACTGGAACATGCAATGCGTCACCAGAATCAACATCCCATGAAATGACTTTGTAACCACGCTTGTGGAGGACATCGTAGTTTCGCTTGATTATGTTGCCTGAATTACGCAAGCCAATATTTAGAAACCGAAAAGAAAAACGAGATAGGTGAGATAAGAAACTCACCGTAGGGAGGTCTGAAGTACTTGGGTTTGTATCCGGTTATAGCTAATCAGTAAGAAATTTTACAATGTATGAGCATCATCTTCGCACAAACGAACAGACTGCAACGCAAGAGAGCTTTAGACAGGTCTAAATGCTCACCGATCATGGCTTTTTCGATCAAATCGAGTTGCTTGTGGAGTTGTTGATCTGTAATCTCGGTGATATCCGGGTGAGACCAAGCTGAAACAAGAGTTCATTGACCAGTCAGAGCTGTTAAAACTTAATGATGGAGTTCAAACCCAAAACCGGGAAATTGTAATCTAGTCTTGCAAAATCACGTACTGTGGGATGCGATAAGGTGACCCATATCAAAAGCTGTAGACGTAGGTTGGTCAGCAAGGAGTTTTCAGAAGATAAGTATGAATAAGATCGATGACTGACTCTTCTTAAGTTGAGCAGACAAGTTCTCATTGTAGATACAATCCCAGTTGTTGCCGTTGATGAAGAAGGTTCCAGTGGCATGATTGTCTTTGAGAAGTTTTGCGAGGGCGTGGTTCCAAGTGTAAGGGCCGTCATCGAATGTGAGAGCAAAGGTCTTGGGAATTTTACAAGTTTTGATCACACCCGGTAGGCTCATAGCGACAGCAGAGTCTTCCGCAAGAGTGAAGGCAAACTGCCCGACTAAGAGGAGAGCTAACGATCGACATAACATCTTGTACTACAGAGGCTCGTTTATTATTATTTTTGGAAAGACAATCAGGGACTTCAATTTACAGCACCCTGGTAGAAAGATGTGAAGTTAAAGCAAAAAGAGAGTAGGTAGAGAAGGTAAGGTCAGGATTCAGGAACGAATGGTGAAAGGAGCGGACGATTTAAATATGAGGTTTGATTAAGACTCAAGAGCAAAAGAAAGAGCCTGAGTCGTTCAAACGTTCTCATACAATAATTAGAAAAGGGCAGCTGGAGTTTCCCACAAAATTTGATGATTTCCCCTGATATCCCATATTCGCCGGAGACGAGGTCAGACCTGTCAGATGTGCATATCGGTTCACGATGATATTCCACATTGGGACTGTATAACTGTAGCTTAGATGTGAGAAAGGAAATGGGACGACATCATAATTATTAGAGCATCAGCACCGGGCCTTGTAAAAAAATAAATACAGGCCTTTTTCCAATCCCGTGAGAATAAAACCGAGGCACCGGGCCTTGCAAACGGCCTGTATGGTTTACACGACGTGTAAAATCAGACCTTGAGCTTGTAATGATGGACTGCCGCGTAAGAGCATCTCCAACGCTCGCGAATCTGAATGACTACACCACCGGGGGCTCGTGACTGTCCAGAGGCGGTCACGGACGCCCGCCCCCAGGCGGTCACCCCCTCCGCGAAGCAGGGCGGTCATCGGGTGGTCAGTGAGTTGACCGCCCATGGGTGACCTCCAGGCGCGCCAGCCACTTGAGCGATACCCAGCGTGCCACCGCCCATTGATTGTGTGCTCCCCGGTAGAAGGCCGTCGGGGTGCTCGTTCGGCCGGCGTCAGGCCGCCAAGGGTGTTTCCCAATGCAGCCGACAGGATTCAATTCTCGCATTGGGGGCAGACGGACTGGGGTACTGGGTGGTTCGCAATGATGAGAGTTACGCTGGCTGGAGGCATGAAAGCCTGTGCATTCCGCAGATTTTGTTCCCAAACACGTACGGGATGTACAGACAAGTTGTAATATATCATATAATGGAAGTAGAAATTTTGTTGAAGCGAGCTCGTTTCCTATCAACAAGAGTGAAATAATGAAATGAAAACGCGGAAAACAAGTGCATCCTCTCGCTATGGCTATGAAGTACTCGGTCAATCGTCCAGAGCCATAGGGCCCGCTCCTTCCAAAACCTGCATTTTTTCCCTGATCTCCTCATCAGACGGTAAGTCAAAAGTGACCCCTACGTCAATGTCTACAAAGTACCCTTTCCCATCGAAAGTGGCGCGATCTTCGTCGTAAATGATCTTGTAGAACCTGGATAAACAATATACACCTCCAAGTTTTGATCAGCGTGCATCTTGCGCATCAGTCCGCATATAAAAAACTTACGCGGAAGCATACAAAGGCTCCTCCTGTGCCAATAGGTGCAGCTGGCTGTCCACTCGGTGCCAGATATTGGCTGTGCCCCCGCCGGCTCGAACTGATTGAAAGATGCAAATCGCCTCACGTCGCTAGTGTCAGAACCATCAAATTGTTGTCAGTGATGACAACGAGATGATCGCCGCGGAAAACAAAAGGTGCTTACGAGGTACGCGATACGGACTCGTTGAGTCCACGCCGTTTGAGCCCACAAGGTATCCACATCGCGATGTTCTTCGGTCCTATTGCAATGTTTCGCAATCTGAACAAGGGGTGCTTGCGTCAGTAGTGTGTTGAAAGAAAAATGATAAAAACAAAGCACCCAAATGGAAACACCCCAGTCACTTACTCGATGAGCAAGCCTCTTCAAGCTGGGGACCGTGCTGCCCTCGTTTTTGCGAATGTTATGCAACACCTGTTGCATAACATCTGTCAGTAACTTCGACAGGACAATGAGACAGGAAGAGTGAGAGGACTCACTTCTTTGTGGAGACGTTCACGGGCGTGTTTACCCGCGTCCTTCACCAGTGTCGTGTACCGTTGGGTGGCCGCAACATCTTGAATGCCATTGACCACCGGGGGCAGTTGAGGAGTCGCCCAATCGCCAGGAATCTCTCTAATCTTTCTCTGTAGGTGTGATGTCAGAGCGCGAGAGTAGGGCCAAAGAGTGATAGTAGTTTGCTTACCTTGATGGTGTTAAAGAGGGAGTGAACTATCACGTCACCATTTGGTGACTCGAGTGCCGTATAACTGGCGATCTCGGCCAGTGACACACAGTCATAGGCGAAATGATACACCCGATCCTGTTTTGAAAGATAGGCATCACCATCAATGACACACAAAACGGTAATCAATTGAGAAGGGGTAAGCTTACTTTGACCTCGTTGGAGTAATTCCAAGGTTCCGGCGTGCTTGGTGGGCCAGGCAAGGTGTTTGATGCCGCAGGTGGCTGAACAACCACTGGGCCATTTGCCCGTAGTGCATCCACCACATCAGTGGCTTGGTCAAGCTTATTTGACACAGTGATAAACTTTTGGTCAAGCTTGTCTGACACAGACGCGATATCCTCATCAACATTATTGGTGAGGGTTGCGATCTCTTCCTCGACGCGGAGAGCCATAGTCGAGAGCTCCTGGTGGATGTGGTCAGACAGCACTATCATCTCGCGCTCGACTTTCGAGATCGCTGCCAAGATTCGATCGGTAGCTGCCCCATCACGGGAACCGGCGTCGTTTCCAAGCTGTTAACGGGAGTACGGATATCAGTAGAAGCAGCCGATGGGGCGGCACACGACATTGGTTTGAGGGCGAGATCGGTTGAGACTTACACCCTCATTGGTCCCCCCATTGAGGCCACGTTGGGCACGCGCGAGTGCCGTAGCGCCTAAAGAGGGAGTTCCTTGAGGCACGGGTCATTTCCAAAACAATCAAGAACGGAAAGGAATGGTTACGGAAGGCTTACTGGGAACCCTTGGGGTCGATAGGGAGTACGGTTGGGCACGGGATGTTTGAGAAGACATGCTGCAAACTAAACGATGTTCGATTATGGAGCCGTAGAAAGTGGATAATTTGAAAGTGAGTCTTAGATGACTTTCGAAATACAGAGGAAGAGAGAGCAGTCGAGGCGAGTGCAATTGTTGAACTCGCTCAAAAATCAATGAGGTGTTTTAAAGGAGAATTAAAGGTGAAGCTGTCTAAGAAGGACAACGGCGCGGCACCTGGCTCACGCGTCAAACCAGGGGTGAAGACCCCGGCTTGAAGCTGATTGGTCGACGGCCCAGGGGGCCCTCGCGAGCCTGCTCCAAGATTATTTCCTTGAAAGGAAATAATCTTGGAGCAGACCAAAGGAATTTTGCAAAAACATTCAAACACAATGTTTTGCAAAGTGCTCAGTGGCATTGGCACGCGGAAGAACAAGATTGCATTGCAAGTTGGAACTTTTCAAGAGCAAACCGATCAATCGGATGCTGATTCTGAGTCTAATTCAGCCGGTGTCTGTTTTCCCTTCCCTTTAGGTACCCTCTTTTTCCGTGGTTTCACCGGGACAGATCGCCAAATGTGTAAACCTTGTTTCAGGGCTTCCAACCACTCAGCAGCAGTCTGCCTTCGAGTGCCCAAGTTCGCCACCTCGCGATGTACCTCAGCCGAGTAATGGCTCGCACTGTTGAGGATATAGTGGTCCGTTTGTTGATGGCTGACACTACTGACTGAGGTAGTGGTATCTTTCCTTTCGAGCCTTTGTTTGCGTCCATCAATTACTGAGCACAACGAGCGATGGCAGTTATGTTGTACGTTTAACAGACAGGCAATGTCCTGCGGACACACGGTCAGTGAGAACTCCCAAAACACTGGCAGGATGGAGACCCAAAGACTGACTGATAATTTCACCCATACTTGATGTTGTGTCCTGACAAGTTCGCGCATCCCATAAAAAGGCGATATCGGTCCCTTTTGAATGTCTTGCAGGAGAATGACGGTTGAGCTGGCGCTTACTCCTTCCGGTTTCCACATGGCCACGACTTGCCCCACGGAGTGACCTCGCGCATTCTTTGGACAGTGTCCCTGTTAGTGTGTTGTTGAAACAGGTGGCGAGAAGGAAGACTATCTAACCTTAACAAAGTCTGTCTTCTCGACCACTTGTCCGTTGCGCAATGTGACAGATGAGTGTTGTAGCCACACCACCCCGGGCGCTTTGCTAAGCAGATACACAGGCACTTGCTCGTGTTCTGCCCTTTCATGACGCGCTGCAAGAGATTCAAGGTCAGTGGCAGCCGATGTAAGTGCAAGACTCCATACTTACGTCCCACCGCGAACACAGACACCCGATCGAGTTTGGGATTGAGTCCAAACGCCTGAGATACTTCCGGCATGGTCTTCAGAAGTCCTTGCACTTTGGGACCTGCTGAAACCCGAGCTTGGAGCTCTTTGTCGACAAAGCTGTTCCCTGAAAGGAGAGCTCGCATGAGTTGATAATTATTGAAGGTGTTTGCGATATCTCGACCGGGGCTCATGCGGTTTGAATGGACTGAAGCGGCACGTAGAACCGCATTGTAACTCTCGAATTTCTCGGTCATGAATAATGACGGCGGTCCAAATCGTGCAATGGAGTCTTTCAAGTGCGTCAACATATGGAACTTGGGCTTGTTAACCCACTGAGCCGAAGTCATAATAAGCTGATAGTAAAAAACTAGAATCGCCTCTTCCATGTCTTGCAGGTAATTATCCATATGCACAATTTCGGTCTGGAAAACATGAGATCCTAGAAGGCACAACGATGTCCAAAGGTGCCGTTTGTTGCTGGGGATATGGTCAAATAATACAAAGGGGACTGTTTGAAGGACCGTCCGGAACTCCTTTCCGACGAGGCTCTGGTAAAAATTAATGAGAGTAGTTGGCTGTATAGGCGGGATCTTCAAACCCTTCGTGTTGAAATCCCTCCACCGCGCCGAGAGTTCGCGGTAACGTGATGAGCCGGGTTTCAGAATTCCGAGCGACTTCATAGTATCTCTGAAGAGGTATTTTGCAATACCCAGTAGAAGAACATGCAAAGTCTCAATGGGAGTATCCTGATGCCCATTGAAACCTGTGATGACTCGGTCAGACAGGATGTTCGTACGCATGGAAGATATTGAACACCGTGAACAAACCTTTTAACCTCAACATGGGGTTAAACAACCGCTCGCCCAGTTGGTCATTCAAACCTTCACAAAGCTGGTGCACATCA